TTACTATTGATAATTAGCATCTCTTTTTTAATTAATTTATTGCCTAAACTTTATTGTTTCATGATAAAGCGGAAAATTTATATCATCAACTATTCCAACCATTTCATTATCAGAATACTAGAATTATCTCAAAGTGGTAAGTATTAAAGAAACATCTGCATGACAAATGTAATGAGCATTTGTCATCATAAAAAAACACAAATTTGTATACTTCTTTTTCTTAGCTTTGTATTTCAAAACATTAAATTTCATATTTTTAAAAATATTACAAAATGTCACAGTTTTCTAAGTATGCCATCACGAAGTTGAGCGTCCTTTTCAAGTGAGCAAATACCAGATGACCAATGAATGTCACTGCAATTGCCTTTAATTTTAATCAGCTTCTCAAATCCCGTCAGACAGGTTTAAAAGTCAAAAATTAATTTTCATTTTATTTTTAAGTCATATATACAGCTGAATGTTAAATTAAAATTCAACCATTCTTTCTATCTTTGATTTGTTAAACTGCTTCTAAAATTTCGTTTCCTACAAAAATTTCATATGCTCATAAAAATTTTATAATCATAACAACAAATGGCTCAGAAATTATGAAGCATTTTACTTCATATTTTTTTGTACTGGTCTATTTGTATTAAGTGAAATGTGTAATTCAAATAATTTTCATATTTTGTAATTCAATGAAATCTGTGATTTCATAGTTCATTTGTCGTTTTCAAAGATGAGAATCAATTGAAAATAAGAGATAGACTACTAGAAAAGAAAATTTCTACTGGATTACTAATTCTGTTCAAAATTAAAATAAATATCATTGACCCAATAATGATGGTAAAGATTCTTGTATCTAACAACGCCTTATCTATAGTGCTGGTTTTTATTATTTATTTACTTAACACGTGGCCTAATATATATGATAAAACTGTGGTAATATAGAAGAACCTATGTTACCTAGACTGAACCCTAATTTATTAAAGATAAATGGAGAGTTGATTAAGTGGGCAAAATAAGCACAGTAAGTCGCGCATACAATTGTACTATATGCTAATAGATTAGGTTATAAGGTCTGTAATAAATATGCTAATTCTTTTATTTTTGGGTAAGATTTCTCTGAAAAAATTAACTATAATGATCATCAATATAATTCTAATAGTTACTGAAAAAAAGAAAATTAGCTCACCAGTTAAAATAAGAGTCCTATAATTAGGAGATATGGCTGGTAATACTAGCAAGAATTTACACTGCTTCTTTTTTATTTAAATAAATCACCAACAGTTCTTTCTAACACCATACTGGAATATGCTCCTATTGCTTGAAAAAAACGGAAAATTACCAAGGTTTAAAGCTAGTTAAAGTTTCATAATTTTTCTATATATATATATTAATTCCATAATTCCTACATTATCATATATTTATTATTTTACCAGAGTAAATAAGGTATGTCAGTGGATACAAAAAGCCCTATTTTTTCTTTTTATAAGGCCTGCTCTAAATGCTTTTGTTTTCAAGAAATTATCTTACCAAAGTAAATAAGGTTTTGCAAAAAAAAAAAAATTACAAAATACAATACTATTTTAATCCAAGCTTATATCGGTGCCCTAGTTCTGGCTCTACTACTCCTTGTAAAAAATTTACTACATTTGTACGCTATATTTTCAACTATAGCTTGTCTTGCACTATCCTTCAGATAGCGGTGGCGCCATTGCAGAAAAAATTGTGTCAACCAGGATTCAGTACTATCGTTAGACAAGTTCGAAGCAGCATTTTGCAAACTAAATCATATTGCAAACTAAATCTAAACTAAATCATATTTGGAGTATGCAGAAACCTTTATACATTTATTTTTATACCTTATGCAGAAACCTTTATACATTTATTTTTATACAGAAAAGTGATATCATAAATGATCGGAGTAATCTAATAGAAGTGGTGATATGAATCGTGGCAGAATAAAAAATTTAACATTGATATGTTGGAATTTTCTCTGAATGCCCTATCTCCGTTTTTAATTATTTAATTACAGAAGGAGCATTGCAAGATAAACAAAATGAACTTACACAAGAACAGAAAAAGGTTCGGAACAAAAAGTAAATATTAATTAGCAGTTAGGAATATTACTTATTATTATCATGGACTTGTTCTAAATACAAATAAATGCTTCCGTTCTGATTCTTAAATTTCAACTTATAATCATTGATTTCTAGTTATAGCAAGTGATTTAAAAATTGCCTTAATTCACAGCAGTCAAGATTTGAGAATTTCTTATAAATCTAAACTTTTCCTTTAAATGAGATAATAATAAAGTTTAATGAACTGCTAGGTTCTTTTTAATATCATGTATTAACTTTCATTTGTTTTTATATTGCAATTTTCTCAAGTTTAAATTTCAGTCAGCTACTGTATTTATTGTTTTCAAGTTATTTCAACCACAGAAGAACTGAACAAAAAGTAATGGCTTGAGAAGCATTACTGGTCCTTTCTTGTGTCACATCTTTTAAGGCCTATTCCACTGAACCATTATTGCATTATAGAAGCTAATTATTTCAAATTGAATCTATTTTTAGAAAATTGGGTTTTAAGAATCGCTACTTTCTTTCATAACAAATAGTGAAAGATTTTTTTATTTCTGGCTATCTCTTTGATGCCTTACCGGATGTGATTTATGAAATTGAGAAATAGAGAATTACATGGAAATCTTTTAAAATTAATTACATCTTCGAAATAATTCGTATTTATTTAATTTTTCCGAACATATTTTGGGACTGATCAATAACACGATATTTGGAAAGTACCAAAATTTGGAAGATGGTAAAGTCAGGAAAACATTATAACAATAAACTTGTCGTTTGTCACAGAGTTTCGCTATATAGTTTTTGGACTTTTGGATTTGAAAGCATAAAACACATAATACAGTGAAGAACGTTTTAGTTCGGCATTTTCAGAAAACATCTTGCAGCGTTAGTATCACTTCATAACTTGAAACGGTAGCTAAAGTATGCACTATAATAATACAAAACGCCAATAAACATATTTCAGTGAAGGTTGGAGCAAATGACCATTCATCAACGTTAGATTTCCTCTTCAACGGTGAAAATGACTCAACCATTTTCACATCCATTCCATATTTTTTAGCGAAAGATAAGTCTCAGCTAATTGGTAGCCTAACTACGCTTTTTATATTGCATAAAATGTCAACAAATATAACATTTATTTGGATTAAATGCCGTGAATTTATTTACTCGTCAAACGTCTCATTTTCCTTTTGTCAATGTGCTGCAACTTTTTCAACAGTGCAAATTGTAATAAGTTCTCAAGGTACTTTTATGAATTTGTTTTAATTTTAATGAGATTAAGACTCTATCCTTATACTTTTGCAGTAAGTGACAATAAATAATTCATTATGTATATTTATAGAAAGACAGTAGTGAAAATATTGGTACAACCACCTGATAAGTCTGATTTCTCAGTCTTTCTTAACATTAAATAAGCTATTCTGGTCTTCGTACAAAATTCGAAATGAGAGAAAATTTAATGCCGAGACAACATCACGAGTGAATGTGAATACCGCTAACATGAAAATAGTACTAGCAGATGATTGGAAATTAAAAAGTCTTATCATAGCTAAAAAGTAGATGCATGAAAAAAAAAGTTGTCGATGATCTAAAGGTTAATTTCACAATCAAGGATCTCATGGAATAGCAAGCATTAAGAAATCTGAGGCTCCATCTTCTCCAACAAAATTAAATTCAGCCTCAGGACTGAATGGAAACGAGGTTCAGTAGCAGAAGTTCAATTCCAAAACTTCTCAGGAATCAATGATGGCCTCCAGTTTGCTTCCTGCTTTCTTGTGCTCTAGAAATGATGGGTTCTTCTCATGGCAGTGTTAAGAAGACAGGCAAGAGATATGATATGTGTCGCAAACAGTCTTTGCTCTCTTCTGATTGCACTTTCCAAGCAGCTAAATTGATCATCATTACTTCCTCCTTCCTTTCTGCCTCTCTAAGAGTACACATTCGACAAAGCAGCCCATTAATCGATTGCTGTCATTGTCACACACAATTCTTAGGAAGTGCATAGAATGCAAACATCTATTTCACGTAATTTAGATTATTGTTGGTTGACGTGTTGCGTGTGTGTTAGTAACAGTGGGATGCCTTGTCCCGTCCTTTCGGATTTCTCAGTGCTCTTACTACAATCAATATAATACCGTCTCTTCCTTCATCTCTCGGTTTACATCTGTGTACACGCGCAAACATATGCCTGACTGCAGTCTGATGAATGCACTTTTGCGGGGGGTGGAGTGAAGAGTAATCAGAAGTTCAGAAGTATCGTCCGTCTCTCAGGGGAAATAGGCTGCAGTGAGAGGTAGGTTGCAGGGTGCGTGTAGACATTTAATATATATGCACATCCAAAGTACAGCAAAACTTCCACTTTTCCCGGTGACGTCAGCTGCATCTCAAACTTTCTGCTCTGCCTTTCTGTTTTCTTTCCTGGCAGGAAGGGAAGAAACATCTTTTCCATTTATTCCCGAACTTCCTCCATTCTGCAGTTAGTTAGTGACTATATTTCCTCCTGTCCTTCAGCATTCGAGACTGTCGGAGAATCAATTATAAACGAACGTATACAGATTACTTCGAAGAAGGACACGGCACAGTCGGATGCTTTTAACAATGCACTTTGTTTTTTAAAGGGAAGGCAACTGCGTTTTCATGTAGGTGTCACCCTCCTCAATGTTCATTGTCCTCCAGGGAGGAAGGCATACTGGTCTATTTATCTATTTGCCCCGCTCTCTCTCTCTCTCTCCCTGCTTGATGATTCACTTCCCTTCTGCAAGTTCAGTGTCAATTGCTGAGTCTACGTTGATAGTCACTCGATTTCCACCTCTTCATCTGAACCGTTCGGTATTATACTATCCGGTAACCTTCTACTCTTCTGCATCCGATTTATCAGTAGCAATATTTAGAAGATAACTCGTTTCTCATTTATTTGGACACAGTGTCCCATCAATGCAGCGTTGCGGCCAAATATTTCACGCTCTTTTGAGTGAAGGCGTCAATTCTATAGATCAAAAGCAAGCTGCTACAGCAACAGAGTCTTCACCGAAATATTTCCACCGTCCTCAGCGGAACAGACAAGTTCAGTTAATTTTCCGGATGAGAAATCAGGCGAAAGAGATGGAGCAAAAATGTGTTAGGGCACCATGCTCTGTTCCACAACATCTCACTGATGCACATCTTCAGTGAGATGCTTTGATGTAAAAAATGCATATTCCATTTCCGAACTGTAAAAGTTAATATAATGGCACAAGGGATCAGACTAAATTTCCGGCAAGGTTCTTTTTCGGCCGGCAATGAAAGCTATCACGGACATCTTCCAGTTAGAATTGTGCTAATCGAACAGAAATTAAGTTTGCGAATCACTGCTTTATCCTTGCATTACTTTGACGGTTTTGTTGAAATGGCTGAAACGTTACTGTTGTTATGTGAAAGTAAGAGTTTGGAAGAATTAGAGTAAAGTAGTCGGTAATTGTTAGGAATTCTGATGTTTATGACCATCAATAATATTACCTTACTTAGACAACTGTATTCATTCCATGAAAAGATTTAGAAAGATTTAATAATCTCTGCAAGAAACCATCCAAATTTTTTTCCACTGTTTCCATTATTTGCATAATAATTTTTTAATTTCTTTGCATAATTTTTTGCATGCATAGTAGTTTTAACTTTTTTTTTTAATTTTTTGCATAATAATTTTTTAATCCTGACTTGTTTATCATAAGTTACAAGATACGTCGTACTTTTATTTCTTCTCTCTGCTTATCTTTTGAAATATGTCTGATATATGTATGTAAATACAGGTAATGTTTTCATCTGTCCACAATTCAAAGTAAGAACTAATAACGCTTGAGGCATTTTTGACGACATTTCAGCCAGTGTCGTCTGCCATGTGAGAACTCCAAGTTTACTTTATTTAATATCAGATGACCTTCAAATTCATCAACAGATGAAATCCGGTCACATTCTTTTATTTGATACCAAAAGTCATTCGCTAGAATGACTGCATTGATTAGTGCAATTCGAAAGTAATTATTAAGTGGTGGACTTTCTGAATCACAATTTGGTTAACAAATCCCATACATATATATATACTGAAAGGTGTTCCAGTGAACTCATCTTCTAATATTTAGTTGGTGACACGTTTGGAATTTAAGCTGTGATTCTGCATTCATAAACTTCCTGCAATATCTCACCTAACTTCTTGCAATCTTACGGAACTCTCAGATGACAACAATGGGTTACAGTAAGTTCTCCAGTATTTTTATACAGGAACTATACAACACGCAGGCATTATTTATAAATTTTAGATGACTTGAAATCAAGAAGTCAATTCTGCAATTTTAGACCGGAAATTGGTACTAAATGATATATAAGGTTTTGGGGAATGCCTAAAAGAGTTTTTCCTCGAGTTTTTAAATAATCTTTTTGGAAGTTCAGGTTTGTTCTGTACCACCTTGTTGCTGATACGATTTGATCGTGTTCTTCAGCTAGAAATTTAGTTTCAGTGTCCAATGTTTACTATTTATCAATAGCATATAATATTATCTTGTTTTCAGCGATGTAGTGTCGTTCATTCTTGGTTGTTAAGAATTTTGGCCGGATGCTCAGCTTCACTTTTCGGTAATATTCGTTGCTCTTATTTCGCTTATTTCAGAGACCAGAAAAGCAAAAATTACCCTTCACCTAACTATTTTGATTTCTTCTTTCCATTCTTTTCCTTTCATCGTCAATTGTAGCACGGTTAAGCAATTCAGCTAATAAACACTACTTCTGCTTGATGCGTACAGGTGCCGAGGTATTGTTTATTGGCTGAGTGCTATACCTCCAGTATTCATCGCCTTTTTGCGAAAAGGTTGTTTTAAATTTCTTTCTACTTTTTTATAGATGTTGTGACATATTTTTCATACTTCTTCGTGGATGTTGTAATAAAGTAACTAGTGTTCTATGTCATAATTTAACAACCAGCAAGACATTTTATTGTCTCGATTTTTTTCTCCACGTTTTGGACATCATTTGGGATTTATGTGTTAAAAAAATGATATTTTGAGATTCGTATGATTTTTCCTTTTTATTAATTCATTTAATTTGATCATCCGACGTGCAGTAACAAAGGAGATCAAGAATCTCAAAGGTCAAAACAATACAGTGGATTGATGTCCGCGTTAATGACAGGTTAATTTGCAGGTTTTTCTTTTTTAGTATTAATCAACTACGTCAATGTCTTATTGGTAGCTATGAGTAAAACTCATTTTTTAAGTGATACAATTCTGTTTTAGTGATATAACATCGCTGTTGGATCCATGATAGTATGTGGAAAATATAGTTCCGCTTTTCATATGTTTCGAAGTCGTATATTTCCGCTGCATTGCATCGAGTCAAGAATTTGCTTTCCTTTTTAAAAAGAATGTTGATTATATCTATATATCTCTTGTAATAGCGAAACTGTAGATATACCACGTATGCCTTATTTCTATGTAATTTGCCAGCTTCAGTAATTCGAATTACCCATGTTTATTCAGCAAGTTATAGTGTTCCCAGGAAACTAGATCGCATTTTATGATTTCTAAAATATCTTTAATTATTTTCAGATTTTTAGATCAACGTAACTTTTTTGATAGATTTAAAAGAAATGAAAGCTACTGCTTCATTTATAACATTTGGAAAAGATTACAAATGAAACAGTAAGTTTTCATTTTTTTTAAACCCATCAAAAAATAGAAATAGAACTCACAATGCAAGAAACAAAATAAGGAACGAATTAGAAGATAATTTTTGAGAAATAAAAGAGTAAAACTGATTTTTAGTCAAAAAATTGACTTCCGTATTTAAAGTGCAATACTTCAAGCACTGCACTTCAAACACGGAAATAGTAATTTTTGCTCAATACTTTCGATTTTCTAGTTGGATTCACCCTTTTTCCTCAAACATTTAAAAAGAGAAAGGGATGTACTATACGGATACGAGAAAGACAACATGATTTTATTGGAAAATATGGATTTCCGTTGGTTAGTACTTGCAGTTATCCTTAATGTTATGTCAACATGTATCCATATTTATTTATTTGCTCATTACTTTTCTTGGAACTTTTTTGTTGGAAGAAAAAAAAAAAAGTGTGCTAAGTGAAAATAAAGTTAATCATTAAAGTAGAAAAGCAACGTCCTATCATCCGAGATTATTGCCACCTCACCATTTCTGAATATTTGTGGTAGTCTTGAAGTTTAATTAAATAAATATCATCATTATTTCAATTTAAAAATAATGCCGAGTAAAGATTTTCCAAAAATCGAACTCTATGAACTTATCCATATCTAAAAGAACAACAAATATATGAACTGTAAATGTGAGTGTCCAACGATTCAACTGGCGTTCATGAAATTTACTGCTTTATAAAAATTAATTTATCGATAGAGGAAAATAATTTTTAAAAAAAGTTGGTATTTTGTTGGTCGCCAACTTCACAGCACTCAGTGAGAATGATTTTTTAATCTTAAAATTCTGATGAATGCATAGTTTAGTCCTGTTATGTTCTTTGAAAAGATAACAGAAAGAAAGCAGGAAATAAATGAGAATGAACGGGCATTAGATTTCTGCTTCATTTTTTCGTTCATCACATTTTTCAATTTTCATATTACAAGGTTAAATCATATATGATCAGTTTTCTAATATTGTTAATTTAGAAAGAAAACGAAGATTTTAGAATTTCTAAGCCTATGGGCTCCATGATTCCCCAATGGAACAGTTGTTTGTCATTTATAGCCATTTATTAAAGTTCCAAGTTTTCATAGACACTCCACAAAAATTTAGCAATTATTTGACTCTCAATTTCCGGAAGCTCTCGGAATTGAATATTTAGGAGTGCCAAAGAGAAATTAGGAAGAACTGGATCATAATAGAGAGAGAATTGCGTATATCAGAATATAAAATTAATGAGCTACTAGCATCTTGTGAAAAATGTCACTTTTAGGACAAGTCATAGCTGTTAGTGTTACTGAAGAATACATGTTTTGAATACAGCCTATTTCATAATTTTCCTGCAAAGTCATATTTTGCTGAAATGAATAAATTTAGTTTTGCAATTAGTCGAATGTCCAACGAAGGATATCAAATAAAACTCGTATATATCGAATAAATGTTATATATTCGACATATAATAAAATATATATCGAATAAAATTTGTAGATTAACAGCTATTTTTCTCGTTTAATGCTAATCACCTAGCATCCGTATCCACTCCTTCCATTTATTTATATCATTTGTTAATAATATTTTAAAATCGACTAAATAATCAACTAAGTGATAGCTAATTTAAAAGTAATATATTTAAAAGTTTAAATACGTCTTCAAGTAAATAACAACTGAAAATCTTGGAGGTACAAACTAGACTAACGAGAGCAATAGCACAAAGCAATGTATTAGAGCTAGATGAAAAGACTCGTTCTTATGGTCACTTATGCAGCCGGTATTCAGATCAATCTTATCTGAACTATAAGTTTGCTGAAACGGGAAATGACCCACTAAATGATGAATGACATTGCAGTTACCCTTTACCGAATTTCTATTAATTTTTTTTCTTGTTATTTTTGCTCGAGAAAATGCAAATTTATGTCATCAAAAGTGACTACTGGCTGCAAACATGGAAGAGCAGTTGTTTTTAAACTGTTTCATTCAAAGGAAAATACGATATAATACAAATAAAATGTACTTTAAATAAGAGTCAACCTCAGAAGTTTTTGAAAGTTTCTTGATAATCTTCTATCTCTATCGAATAACAAAGTTCGTATGCACCACTTCAAAATTTTCCTACACAACCAATTTGAGTGTTATATCAACATATTACAGAAAATGATTTTAATTTTGTTTTACTTACCGATTTCTGCCAGGATGTCTTTTGCTCGGATTTCTTCATATCATTATTAGGAAAAATAGAATTTTACAATATTATTTATGAAATGATTATCTACTTCAAAATAAACTTATTTAAATAGTTATTTGTTTTCTGTCCAGAGACTTCTACAAAAACTTTTGTCCTTTCTATACAACTTTTAACAGAGGCTTGTTGACAGATTTTTAGAATCTTAGTCTATTTTGAACTAAGCAAGGTGGTGATATATTTTTGTTGGTTTTTCGCTGAATACTGAGAACAAAAAGCAAATCATATTTCTACAGACGATTACCTAATGTTCTGCACATGAACTTTAAATATATTCTAATGTTTCTAACGCAATATAGAAGGATACCTTTAACTGGGATAAGGAAGAAGGAAGGAAGAAATATGTGGTAGTTGTGAAATATGATAATAATCAGAAACATCTCAATGATTGCATTTCGTTTTCTTATTTTGTATTGAAATTTGAAATGTGATATGTTTCTCATACATATTATTGAAAATAATTTCTATAAATATACGAAGGAGTGCTAAGATCCTTTGTAAATAATTTAATAAAAGAGAATAATTTG